TCTGACTTGCGAGAACATTTCCTGTATATCACCCGCTACAGCCACAACACCCTGACGAAACTTAGCGATAATCGTCCAAAGCGGCTGAGCGTGCTCCGGTCCCTTTAGGAGTGCCGAGTTCAGTGATATGTTCGACGTAGCGGCGGCAGCATCGAATACAATGCGAAGCTTATTCGGTTTGCTTGGATTCACCACTCCAAAATGTGGCAAATACCAAGTGGTAGGGCTTTCACAGTTAGCTTCTTCAGGCTCCAACAATCGGGCATATCCCTTCGCGATATATTTGTCGATTTCTCTTCTATAATTGGCGGCAAAGGCGGCATCTCGTGTCATTTTGTTCTCAATGTTGAGCAACCTCTGTTTGGCCATGGCATAACTTTTAGGCAAATTTACATTTTCTTCTCGCCATAGCAGACCAACTTCGTATTGTCTTCCGATGTTTTTTGTTGTTTCAGCAAGAATTTTCTTGGCCCGGGCGTCTGAATCAGATTCGAGCACAATGTCAGCATTTCGTACACCAAAACTGTCGGCAGCAAAATAGTCTTCGACCACCTTTTGTAGCTCCTTAAGCGCTTGACCCTCACGCAGATGAAGTACACGTGGCTCGGCGTTGCTTCGTGAATTAGTAGGACCAAATGCGGTCCAACCTAATTTGGTTAAGGCTGCGATGGGTTTGTATGGCCCATCCTCTACAATATGTTCTGTCACCTCAAGGAAACAGTTATCCAAACCCAACAGCAGAACAGGCTTGACATTATCGTAATTTTTATCGGCAGCGACTTCAAATGTGAATGACCATCTCGACAGAAAGTTTGTGTTGGCAGATTTAGGCTTTTGACTGTGCATATGTTCTTTATATCATACGTTGACGACTTCTCCGCATGACCCTTTATGGCCAAGGCTACTTTACGTGACTTCTCTGTTGTCTTCTTGTCGTCATACCATTGCAGTGTGAGTGGTGCGGCGTTTCCTCTAAGGCCTAGGCTGTTGGCTACCTTCTCCTCAAGTAGCGAAATCGATGACCCTTCGTCAAACATGGCGTAAACGGAAATTCTTCCTAGTGGACCTGACAAAATGGCCGGCAATATCTTGAAAAGGTGTGAAAGAGAGCGTTCTTCACGGCAGTTGAGTATGTGCTCCCTTTCTTCGTTGTTTGGCGTGACTGGCTTCGGAGGCTGCTTGGCCTCAGAATGAAGTAATTGATTATGCAGGCGCACGCATCCATTTATGCCACATGGCTTCTTTTTAAAACAATCGGTCAGGCTGTGTCCAACCTGCAAGCACGAAAAACATAAACGGTGACGTTTTACAAATTTCCACTTATCGTCTATATCCAGAGCAGCAAACTGGCGACAACTGCTCAGTTTGTGACTTTGCTGGCATTGCAAACACGGTATATTTGAATTATCAAATGTCATCTCTTTGTTGTGCAAAACTCCCTTTGCACCCAACGCGGCATGTTGGCGATTGCTATTGGCATTAGCTTGACGAAAACCCAACGGTGTCGACGGTTGCGAAAAACGTTGAGCATTTGGCGCATGTATTGGCATCAGACTCACAGCCCTTGCGAGTTCACTGAGCCAAGTCGAAAAGGTCTCCACCGTAGGAAATGGCAAAACGGTGGCAGCAAACTTCGTCCACTCATATTGTTTCGATTGCGGCATTTTGGTCGCTAGTTGATCCAAAAGTGTTGTATTCATTAGGTGGTGTTCACATTTGGCAGATTTAAAGAATGCAACTATGTTGCGCACTCGATTAGAGAAACTCAAAAACAGGCTCAAGGCGATTCTCATAAATGACTGGGAAATTCTTGACTTTATCCAACTGAACCCGTACAAGCATGTCGGGGCGTCCAAAATTGAACTGAAGTTCCTCAATGGCTTTAGGCACATCGTTTGGATAGATAAGAAGCGATGTCGCAGCATTCTTGGCGTCGCCTTTCAACGCTTTATGCAATCGCATCAAATTTTATTTGTTGTTATACCCAAATTCAATAGTCGAATCAGTGAAATTGGCAAAAAATAAAGGCCAATCTTCTGGATTACCATCAAAAGGCAGCAGTGGGTACAGTTTCTCCGCATAGTCCTCAGAAAACGTAAGAGTAGTTGCACGATGCGGCGCTGACAAAGATGTTGACGACGTCAGTAACGGTAATTGTTGTTGTGGCATCCCAAATGTTGCAGGCTGCGGCGGTGGCGCAGTATATGTTGATGTGTGTGACAGAGGCAGAGTATATGCCGTTGACTGCGGCGGTGGCAAATTATATGTTGATGTCTGTTGCAGTGGCAGAGTATATGCCGCTGACTGCGGCGGTGGCGTCGAAAGTGGCACTGGCTGCGGCTGTGGCGTCATTGACGGTTGCGAAAGTGGCAGCTCAGCATTTTGAATATCGTTTCTAGCCTCACTTTCTATTCTGGCCCGGAGTTCCTTCATTTCATCCCGGCTGTGGCCAGTCTCTTGGCGAAGCTCATCCACAGATTGGCGTAAAAATGAAATGCTCTGTAGTAATGTAGCTAATTGTGTTTCAGATAAATTGACTTGCGGCTGTGGCGATTGTGCACCTGTTGCACCCTCGTTGTCAGGCAGATTCACTATAGTTGAATCTAACAGGCTTTCCTCCGAACTATTGTCGCTGCTTCCCTCTGGAGCAGCAATATCAATAAGCTTCGATTTGTTACGCGTTATCATCAAGACTCTTGAAAAGCGTATGTTGCAATATGGCGGCTNAGCAGTGGGTACAGTTTCTCCGCATAGTCCTCAGAAAACGTAAGAGTAGTTGCACGATGCGGCGCTGACAAAGATGTTGACGACGTCAGTAACGGTAATTGTTGTTGTGGCATCCCAAATGTTGCAGGCTGCGGCGGTGGGGCAGTATATGTTGATGTGTGTGACAGAGGCAGAGTATATGCCGTTGACTGCGGCGGTGGCAAATTATATGTTGATGTCTGTTGCAGTGGCAGAGTATATGCCGCTGACTGCGGCGGTGGCGTCGAAAGTGGCACTGGCTGCGGCTGTGGCGTCATTGACGGTTGCGAAAGTGGCAGCTCAGCATTTTGAATATCGTTTCTAGCCTCACTTTCTATTATGGCCCGGAGTTCCTTCATTTCATCCCGGCTGTGGCCAGTCTCTTGGCGAAGCTCATCCACAGATTGGCGTTAAAATGAAATGCTCTGTAGTAATGTAGCTAATTGTGTTTCAGATAAATTGACTTGCGGCTGTGGCGATTGTGCACCTGTTGCACCCTCGTTGTCAGGCATATTCACTATAGTTGAATCTAACAGGCTTTCCTCCGAACTATTGTCGCTGCTTTCCTCTGGAGCAGCAATATCAGTAAGCTTCGATTTGTTACGCGTTATCATCAAGACTCTTGAAAAGCGTATGTTGCAATATGGCGGATAAAGCAACTACAAACGCTTCACACAACCACGATAAAACAATTGTAAAAACGTATGTCAGAAAAACGAAACAAGGGAGTTAATTTTAAGTTGAATATCTAAATTCAAAAACTATGGCTCGCGGCCAAAAATATAAAGCAGACAAATTTTCAGTTTTCGTTCTTAGACTTCGTTCGGCTTCGTTTTACAATTGGTGTTTTTGTCGCGGCTTCTTTGAAAACTAATAACTAGAGCTGACGTTGAAAATCGTTTCAAAAGGGAATGGCGTTGCCATTGTGTTGTAATAGAAAATGTCCTTTTGAGTGGCCAGTGTTGCCGACAGTGGCAACATTGCTTTTTCGAGTATGCAGTCGCTAGCTGCGTTTCAGTGATCGCCGATCGAGATTTCATTTATTATTTTACATTATTTTGATAAAGAAAAGTTATGCAAATCAAAACATCGATATGATGCTGATAGAAAACTGGATTAAATTGCGATCAACTCTGTTTGCTTTGTTTCCTAATTAAGTGTGGAAATTTCAATTGACAACACCGACAAATGAATATATACACAAACAAATGTTCGGTTATGGTTAAAACAATTCAAGTTTTTGTATTGAATTTTTGGTTTAAAATTTATTTTTTCCTTTTCAGTAGGGTTTTTGCACATTATCTTCTGCGTGAGAATTGATCGTAATAGATACGGATCTGAATAAGCGACTGGAACACGGCTGTTTGTCAAAACCATACGATTTCGAACTCGCGTAAATGTACATTTGCTAAATGCGGTAGCATGAACGCTCATCGAAAACATATGTTCGAAAGTGCTAAACGTTGCATTTTAAATGCAGCAAAAACGCTGCATAAGGCGATTATGAATAGCTTTAGTTGTGACTTAGAATAGTTTCGACTTAGTTGAGTACTAAGGGCCGTTTGCACCATGTCTAGTTAATTCTAACTCCCAGTTAAACATCTTTATCGACGTTATCGACACCCATCATATAACATGTGATCGATAAAGCAGTTAACGTGCTTAACTGAAGGATGTACCTCCAGTTAGCGTTAACTAGACATGGTGCAAACGGCCCTTAATATGACTATGAATATGCGCCATTGACATTATTGCACGTCACCACGTTTATCGAAGTTCAATTGTTCCATTTTCTTGTATATTTTTAATTCAATCACTGCATCGAAAATATTCTTTTTTTTATATACGATGCATCGATGCATCGATGCAATATTTCGTTGCATCAGATCGAAAAAACGTCGATGTATTTTATTGACTTGCATCCCTAATAGGGCGTTAATGCTGAACGTTAAAGCTGCATTTAGCACATTTAGCTCTAATGCTACTCTAAATGTACATTTACTCATACAAAATTCTCTACCTAAATGCAACTAAATGCTATATATTTTTGGCATTAAGAATCTAAATGCCGAATGCAACTCTGTAATCTTCGAAAAAACACCACGATTCGAAGAAAGTGTAGCAAAAAAGAGTGGCAACATCGCTTGTTTGTGTACACTTACATACATATTTGTTTACATTCAGTTTTGCGTATACATACATATATTGTGATATTTGTGCCGTAATTTGCTTCATTTCATTTCATCAAATTTTCTTTGTGATTTTAATTAAATAAATAAGAAAAAATTATTAAAAATATGAAGCGAACGAGATGTCCATGGACCGCAGCAGCAGAGGAGGTGTTTGTGGAGTTGTGGCAGCAAAAAGTGGATGATTTGAGGGGGCCTAGGAAAAACAGCCATGTTTACCAAGAGATGGCGGCTGAAATGCAGATGCAGGGCTATAATGTCAACTCCTCATCAGTTAAAATGAAGATTGACAATCTGACGGCGAAATATAGGTAACATTAATCCTTTCAAGAAAGAATAAAATAAGTATTTTTGTACGCATTTTTCATAGAAGGGCCAAGACAGCTATGGGAACAACAGGAGGCTCTCCTGCATCATGGCCTTTATATGAGCAGGTGCACCAAATAATTGGTGGCTTCTCAATAAATAATGTAGAGGCTCTAATTGAAGAAAGTTTTGAAGGTAAGTGTCGATGGAAGACATTCAAATACTTTGCTTTTGATGCAAAACTATTTATTACATTTTATCTTAATCTATGTGCATAAATTGTAAAAATTCAGTTTCAGCTATCGCCGTTATCACCATTGCCGTCTAGTTCGTCCTCAGCATCCGACAAATCTGGAAGAAAAAAACAAATGGATCGGTTAGTGACGGTCTGCGAAAGCCTCCAGTCCAATTTTTCGGAAGCTATGGATAAATTTTCCAAATCAAACGAAGAATTGGTGGAACTTGAAAAAGCAAAACTGATGGCAATGCAGGAGCTGCAGAAAGACGCGAAAAGACTGACGGATGGTGTTTAGATTTTTTAAATAGATTTTAAGGAATAGTATGTAAGTCTTGTGAATGTAATAATTTTTTAACACATTTAATAGATTATAAGAAATAGTATGTAAAATCTAATGAAGTGAACTGTTTTTTTTATAGATTTTAGAATTACTCTTTAAGAAAATGGAATCAAATATGTTGTGATTTTTTTTTATGTTAAGAAAGTAGTAGCCATGATACAATAATTTTTAGAAGGTAGTTTCACTTCAAAATTTTTGACATAAACCGTGTCTGTGGCAAACGAGCAATGTGGCCACTGCTACGATATAGAACTTGGGGATTACCGCTTGTTATTTTAGATATTTTTTAACAGATCATGTAAAGATTTATATGTTTCATAACTGATCACTTAATTTTTAATATAAATATACTTATTTTATACATACATTTTTGCCACTGCTAATCACATGAATAAAAATCATAAAAATGAAAATATGACAGCAATATTTCTTGTTTATAATGGATTAGATTCATCGCACACCACGGACTTTATCGGCGGCCAATTTAGATGTGCTCGCTAGTCTTTCCATTGCACCACAACCTATTGGTCAGAGCGATTAAGCTGGTGTAATGTGCGCACCTCCATACATCTTCATGTACATATTTCAAGAGAGCCCTATCATTTAAATAGGCGGCCGATAAAGTCTGTGGTGTGCGGTGGCTCTTATAGCTGTGTCCTTACATCTATTCCGTTAATTTTTTATGAAGAAAATTATTACAAAATATTCGAAAATTTCTCTACTTACATGTTTGGCTTTTCTTTCTTTTATTTTTCCAACGTCAAAAGCTGGATTTTTTTTTTTGAAAAAGTTGGTACAACAAAAAATACGAAACACGTTTTCTGTCAGATAGCTAACATGGCCGATAAGAAGAAGAAGTGAAACTACCTTCTAAAAATTATTGTATCATGGTAGTAGCCTAGATTTTGTGATATGAACCTCTTTATTTGCAATGTAATATACAGTGCCGAACAGAAGTATTGGCACAGTGAATTTTTCGCAATATATGCAAAGTTCTTTATTCTAATTTATTTTCGATAATTTTTTGTAAAAATATTGTTCATTTTACACCAGAAAATATAATAATAAAGTCTCTCAACTTTGTGCAAAACTCAGGAAAATTCATAAAATTTGCACACTAATTAGCAACTTTTTATTCAACGCGATTTTGTAGCAACTTTAAACTTACACTTTGTTATACTAAATTTGAATGGGCTATAAAACTGCATACTTTGAATTTTTTTAAAAATCTTAATAAAAAGTTGCAAATCAGTGTGCAAATTTAAAGAATTTTCCTGAGTTTTGCACAAAGTTTAGAGATTTTATTATTACGTTTTCTGGTGTAAAAGGAACTATATTTTTGTAAAAAATTATCGAAAATAAATTAGAATAAAAAACTTTGCATATATGGCGAAAAATTCACTGTGCCAATACTTTTGTTCGCCACTGTACATATGTATGTATATTTCCTTTTTTGATTGACATTTTTTATTTTATAAACCGAATGAAGGCACTTTGGCTTTATATTAAGATGAAAAAATTAAACTGAAATAAATGTGATAATAACGTACTGAAGTATGAAGTGAAAGCATTCCTTATTGATTCAGCTTCTGTTAGGCTTTGGTGCAAATCCGCGGATTGTGGCTGCCTTCTACTGCTGTCGTTAGCGTTCTGCTTAGTTAGCCAAGAAAGTGAAACTTGGTCATTTTCCGCTATCAGAAAGTTGTGCAAGGCACAAGTTTTTATAATGGAATTCGCATTGTCAATTCTGTTATCAAAGCCTTTTCCAATTCGACGAAACCTATAATTGTACATACACATGCATGTAGGTTATTCTTTTAAGTGTTTTTATTTAAAATCCAGTTTTATGTTGCTTAATTGCCTTACTTTCAGTTGTCCAAAAGCATTTTCAACGACTACGTGATTTCGAAAGTTGATAATTGAAAGTTTTTTGCGCTGGTGTTTTATCCAAACTGAATGGAAAAGGTTTCATTAGATATTTAAAAAAACGAAAAGCGGAGTCTCCAAGAATGACAACTGGTATATCAAAGTTTCCTAATTTTGTGCTCATTGAGTTCAGAAGCGAACATTTATCTAGCTCTCTCTTTAAGCTGGACTTTTCAAAGATTTTGGAATCATTGCATCGTCCGGGACTGCCAACGTTTATATACAGAAAACGATATCTTAAAAAGAAACGAAAAAATATATGCACTGCGACGTCTTATTCGTATAAACATGCAAGTAAAAGTTCGTGTATAATACCTTGCGTCAACAAGAGCTAGTAAAACTGTCGAATACCATCCTTTATAGTTGATATAATCTACTGCTTCTTCCGTTCTAGGTCGAATTTCTATGTGGCATCCATCTTAAAAATATTATATGTAGCTGTTTATACACAGTTTTACAATTTTAGAAAAAGCTTACCAAGCGCTCCCAAACATTGAGGGAATCCAATGCTTTTAAAACCATCAACACACTCTTCAATGGTCCCGTTTCCCAAGCATATAGAATTCTGGAAGTTGGTTTTTTTCTTTTTAATGTGATCCAGAAAGCTACACAATTTCTGGAAAGCCCGTCTTTTCAATCTAAAGTTTTGCTTGAAGAAATCATTTCCGCAGCATTGAAACTCGACTTCCCAAAACGTGCTAGCTCGATTCTGGAAAATTAAGTACATATATACGTAAATATACATAAAACATATACTTTATTGTTTTGGTACCTCTTGCCTCGCACAGGTTCTTTCGTTAGTAGGAAGTTCCAAGTGGATGTACTCCCAAATGACTACTTGCACGTTTTTGTACAAGAACAGACAGAACATTAACTAAATGCGGCACCGTGAACACTCTTCGAAAAACCAATATTCGAAATTGATAAATGTGCTTTTAAATGTCAGCATGAACGCTGCATTAGGCAAATATGGTGCCGCACACAAGCATGCCAAATTTAGTCAGAAAGAAGAAAGTTGCAGAGTTGCTTTTTTTGAAAATTAATACTACGTTCAAATTGACGAGCTAAACATGTTAAATGGGGTTGAACCAGTTAAATGAACAAAACATGTTCATGAACAAGTTAAATCGCATGCAATTCTTGTTGGAAAATTGAACCAGTTAAATCATTTAACTCGTTTGAAAACCAGTTCAGCGTACAGTTGTATCAGAAAGCTTTCTGCTCCGGCCAATCAGAAAGACCCAAAAGCTTTNAATCTACTGCTTCTTCCGTTCTAGGTCGAATTTCTATGTGGCATCCATCTTAAAAATATTATATGTAGCTGTTTATACACAGTTTTACAATTTTAGAAAAAGCTTACCAAGCGCTCCCAAACATTGAGGGAATCCAATGCTTTTAAAACCATCAACACACTCTTCAATGGTCCCGTTTCCCAAGCATATAGAATTCTGGAAGTTGGTTTTTTTCTTTTTAATGTGATCCAGAAAGCTACACAATTTCTGGAAAGCCCGTCTTTTCAATCTAAAGTTTTGCTTGAAGAAATCATTTCCGCAGCATTGAAACTCGACTTCCCAAAACGTGCTAGCTCGATTCTGGAAAATTAAGTACATATATACGTAAATATACATAAAACATATACTTTATTGTTTTGGTACCTCTTGCCTCGCACAGGTTCTTTCGTTAGTAGGAAGTTCCAAGTGGATGTACTCCCAAATGACTACTTGCACGTTTTTGTACAAGAACAGACAGAACATTAACTAAATGCGGCACCGTGAACACTCTTCGAAAAACCAATATTCGAAATTGATAAATGTGCTTTTAAATGTCAGCATGAACGCTGCATTAGGCAAATATGGTGCCGCACACAAGCATGCCAAATTTAGTCAGAAAGAAGAAAGTTGCAGAGTTGCTTTTTTTGAAAATTAATACTACGTTCAAATTGACGAGCTAAACATGTTAAATGGGGTTGAACCAGTTAAATCATTTAACTCGTTTGAAAACCAGTTCAGCGTACAGTTGTATCAGAAAGCTTTCTGCTCCGGCCAATCAGAAAGACCCAAAAGCTTTCATTTGACACGCCAACATTCAAAAAATTTATATTCTGAAAAATATTAAAAATTAAAAATTATCAAAAAATATTAAAATTATATGCATGTCTGCCCCGCCAAAAAATAGGCAAAGGCGGTAATTAGTTATTGCCCATGAGGTCTCACCGTACGCAGAGATAAATAGTGCATACGAACTAAACATTTTGAAAACTCTAAGTATTCCGTATGCGTTAATATCATGAATCAGACGTTCGCACAAAACAAATTGAAACACAAAAAATGGATTTGAATATTTTTTTTAGAATTTTTATTGGTAATCAAACAACCGTCAAAGTTAACTCCAAATTTCCATGTGGACGATTGTGTTTTCCAAAAAGCTCTTTTTCATTTAACAAGTTAAATGGGGCCAATTTGAACGTAATTAAAAGAGAAAATTCGATTTTTTTCTAGAAAAAATCGATTTTATCCGAATTTTAGCACCACAAAATTCGATTTGAAAAATTCGCCTTTAGGAGCTTAATTGCGATTAAAATTCGTATCTCGACGCTTCGAATATCGAATTTACCCATTCCTAAGGCCGTGGTTATGCCACCAATTTTAATTGGCAATCAAAAGAGAAAAATTTCGGTGATTGGTGAGAAGTGGTTACGCTCTGTTTGCTGATTGGCGAGCACTGGGTTGCTTCTTAAGAAATGCCTTTTTCCATTTCATACAATTTCGCACACAATGGCAGCACTGAAGTAAAAATGCAACTAAAAATGGATCAAAAGTGAAGTCGGAATATGAAAAATGGAAGAACTACTTAATATTTTTTCATTCTTTAATATTTAGTTTTTATAATAATATTTTGTTTAATATCTACTTTATAATAATAATAAAAAAATATTTTTTACTATTCTAATATACTAATACTATTTCGCAAAATAGCGTATTGTCACCCTGAAAAATTGGTGTTGGGTTCACCCAGCAAATCGTGCTGGCTGTTCGATTTTGAAAATTCTCTCACTCCGTGCTGTGCACAACAACAATTGCACGGTGTTTGCCAATCGAAATTGGTGGCGTTATAGGGCATTCGCACGCGGCGATTTTACAGGCAACAAAAGTTGAATGCGAAGTTGAATGAGAAGTTGAAAGTGAAAAAGTTGCGATCCCTATTCAAACGAGGCGATTTTGGATTCAACACGAATTGTTATTTACATTATTTAAAATGAATTTAAATCGCAAAATTTTATCAATTGGCGTAAATTTGGTAAGCCAAGCGTTGGTAAAGGTGCTTTTTTACTAAGTTTTACCAAGCCACTCGCCAGAATACTATTTCAAAATGGTGGTATGTATACAGAATGTAAACAAACACAGCGTTGCAAGGAAAAAAAGTTGAACGAGCTCAAAGTTGGCTGGCGACCATCTTTGTTGAAAGCGATTAGTTGAAAGGCAGTTCGGAAGAGGCGATTTTTGCTTTCACCTAAAAGCTGCCTGAAAAATCGCCGCGTGCGAAAGCCCTATACCCACGGCCTAAACGGAACATACGTATAGGGATAAATCGATACCATCAAGGTATTACTCAAATCAGTACTTGTACTTGTATCAAACAAGGTATCGATACCTACTCAGTATGGGAAAGGTATCAATCACTTTACATAGACTACGATTTACATATTTTTCAAAGTAATTGTATTGTTACGATTATCCTCGAAACCTTGAGGGATTTCCCAAATAGCTTCCGGCTCGTATCGCTGGATTGTTAAATAAATGCTAACGATGGCCAAATTGTAGTACAATTAACTTTATTGTACGACAAACAATTTACAATACTTGCTAATACAGTAAAAACACTTTACAATACTTGTTAAAGCAATAACAACGCTTTACTAAACTTGTTAACACAATAAGGGCCGGTTACTCAATGTCTGGTTAACACTAATATGCTGTTAAACATCGTTATCGACGTTACCGACTCCCTGTTATATGCATGGAGTCGAAGACGTCGGTAACGATGTTTAAACGCAGATTAGTGTTAACCAGACATTGAGTAACCGGCCCTTAAACTTAAAGCTTGCTTATTCGCAATTCACTTCTCTGCTCACTTTACTTGTAGCTTGCTGACTTGTATCTAACTCACTTCGCTGTGGCGGCGCCCTTATATACCTGCGATGGTACTTATGGCAACCCTAGAACGTTCTGAAGTTTATCGCTCATCCTCTTTCTCTCGCTGTTCGCATTGTTCATCCAACTTGACGTTTCTCTTTGTGGAACATTCTACGTCATTCCTCGAACATTCTGCCTATTTCTCGTTGTTCGCTTCGCGTTGCCGCAGTTTTCGCCACACTGCGCTCCACCTAAGTCTGATCGTCCCGATCAGACACACTTGCTGCTCCAAACGTTGCCAGTCTTTCATCTTGGTTCTCAGTCTACCAGCTGTCTGGATTCGATGCACTGCGTCCTTCAGCCGTTTGTCAATCCTATACGGACCTTTCCAGTTACGATGTTGTTCGGAGGTGAAGCCTTTCTTCGGCTGCGGCATGTGCAACAGCACCAAATCGCCTTCCTGTAGCTCCTCTCGGCTCGATGTATTACTGGACATTGTTTCCAGCTTATCTCCGGTGGTGCTCCATCTCACATGGTCGTGCTTCTGCCGGTCACTGGTGGTGACCAGACCATGTCTCCTCTTGTAGGCACCCTTTTTTCCAGATCTATGCCGCATCCTCTGTCCATGACACCGAGGCTCCTGCCTTCGTGCTGCACTGCCTTTAGCACATCTTGATAAATCCGGTTCCTCACGCTGAAACTTGCCCAGTGTTTCCGCATCTCGCTCCTTCACCGGCGTCAACATCATTGACCGGACATGTATAACCTCATCCTTGGCTTCCGGCTTAACTGCTCGCCTTTGCCGGCCACCTTTTTCGGGACACTTCACACCGCGCCTACTGCTCCCACAGCCGCTTCCATTTCCGGCCACCGGCGTACTACCATTGCAACGTGGTTTAGCGGCTTTCCTCCTCCGGAAACACTGCCTGGCTTGCCATGACCACTTCCTTGTTGCGACCCCTTCTTCACTGAGCTGGCGGAGCCGTCACGCTTTTCCTGTATCGGTGAACAACTTCCTTCTCCTGACGAAACCATTTCGTCTCCATCACTGTCAACCTCTGCCCAACTAAACACTTCCGTTCCTGTGGAATCTTCGACACTTCCTCTAAGGCTAATCGTCTGCTGCAGCACTGGCTGTCGTAACCAACCCTAAGTGGCACTTTCCTGTGACGATCTGTCAGGATCATTCTCTGGAGGTCAATCTCATGCCTTGGCCAAGTAAGAAATCCACGCCGATGATGACTTCATCCAAAATGTCTGCCACTATAAACTTAGTGTACGAGGCCACACCGTCGATTATTACCTCGCATGGTACTTCTCCTAACACTTGGGTGCATTCACCAGTTGCAGTCTGCAGCTTTGCTCCAGGCAGTGGCTTCACATAAAAAGTGGCCAAATCCGGTCGAATAATGGAATGTGTCGCTACAGTATCCACTGTCAGTACTCTCTCCTGCCCATTCACACATCCACCAACACTGAGGTTGCATGCTTTCCGGGCAATTTGTGAGACGGAGATTATGGGCCCTTCAACTTTTGAATTGGCTTCGTCTCCTTCAGCCCTGCGTTTGCGTCCTGCTGAATTGTTGAGCCCGCTGGAACTTGCGCTGCAATCGCGGGCGAAGTGGCCTGGCTTTCCTCATTCAAAACATTTGCCAGATCCATTCTTTTTCTCGCCCAGCAGTTGGATAATATTCTTCAGCATTTCATTTGTCTCGTCCGGTATTTCCACTTCCACGCGATGTGCTTTGTAGGCTGGTCTACTTAGGAGTGCTGCCGTTTCACGTGTCTCAGCATACGAGACGGTTTCAGCAAATGTTGCCTTTGGATTCGCGTACGTCTCTCGCATGTCCCGCATTCCGTTGATGAACCTCTGGATTTTTACCCTTTCAAGGGGCTCACCAGATGCGTCTCCAATTGCCAAATGAGCCAACCTTTCAATCTCAGAGGCGAATTCCTGTAAAGTCTCGTTGGATTTCTGGCAGCGATTCTCCAGCTCCATCTGGTAAATCTGTCTCCTGTGCTCACTACCATAACGTATTTCCACTGCACCCATTAATGCATCGTAATTGTTCCTTTCACAGTCGGGAATAGTCTGCAAGATTTCCGCTGCAGGTCCTTTCAATGCGACGAATAAAGCAGCGGATTTATCCTCCATGCTCCAACGATTTGCTGTAGCCGTCTTTTCGAACTGGAGCTTAAAGACCTCGAAAGGAATAGTGCCGTCAAAGGATGGAGTCTTTACCTTGGGTGCGCTCGTCTAAGTAGCTGGACGATTCAACTGTAAATCACGAAGACGGCCTTCCAACTCCTCTACTTTGTCCTGTCTCTCTTCGATTTTGCCCTGTATTTGTGTAATTTTCGCACCCTGTGCTTCCAGCTGGGATGATATACGTGTCTCTTGTGCCAGTAGCTGAGTTTCTAGCCGGGATGACACCTGCGCTGATACCTCTGAAGATATACGTGTCTCCAGCGCTTGCATCTGGGATGACAGCTGTGATTACATCTGTGACATGCGTGTATCCTGTGCTTGCATCTGTGACTACAGCTGTGATGACATCTGTGACATGGCATCAAATAACGTTTTCATGTCTATAGCTGTTGATGAACTAACAGACTTTTGCTGTTCTTCAACCTTCCCGGATGTCTGCTGCAATGCTAACGATGACCAAATTGTAGTAGAATTAACTTTATTGTACAACAAACAATTAAAATACTTGCTAAAACAGTAAAAACACTTTACAATACTTGTTAGAGCAATAACAACGCTTTACTAAACTTGTTAACACAATTAAACTTATAGCTTGCTTATTCGCATCTCACTTCTCTGCTCACTTTACTTGTAGCTTGCTGACTTGTATCTAATACTAGGTTCACATATAAGAAGATTATCTACTTTTTCGAGATTAACTCTTAATCCGTAATTAAATTACGAGATTACCCATACAAAATTCGTCCCCCGTTAATCTGTAATTATAAAATAATCTCAGATTATAACGATAGTTTTCTCCATACAACTCTGTGTTTTCTGTGTTATCGATAATTATTACTACGAAGTAAAGGAGAAACGTCAAAGTAAAAAGTAAACGAAATGGACGCCGGCAAAGAAAAGAGGTTTGTAAACATACTTCTCATAAAGTATTTATTAAATAATATTATTAATGCATATATATTACAGAAAGAAGCGATCGCAATGGCATAAAGAAGAAGTCGACCTTCTTCTGGATTTGTGGGAGGAAAAGTTGCCGCAACTTCGAGGCTGCAAACGAAACTCCCATGTATATGCGGACATGGCAGTGGAAATGGCCACAAGAGGCTTTGTATTTTCCGCAAACGAAATTCAAGTCAAAATACATAATTTAACCAATAAATATAGGCAAGTTTTTCATCTATGCAAATTTAATTGTAAAAATATAATTCTTATTTCACAGAGATGAGAAAAAGATTGTTGGGCCTTCAGGCGGCACACCATCTGCGTGGGGGCACTACAACAAAGTGCACCAAATCCTCGGCGCTACAAGTCCTTTAACTTGGAAGCAATAGTGGAGGAGAGTACAGGTTAGTACGGTGAAGCACTATAATCTTATGCTTATACACTGACGCACACTCAAAGTTGTACTGTGATCTATTAACAATATTCACAATTGGGCTATTCAGGATGTTGTGGAAATGGTCTTGGACTTGCAGTTGGAATTGCATTAGCAAATTTTATGATTGCTGCCATAGCAACCGTTTGCATTTTATTGTTGTGAATTTACAAATGCAACGAATATCCTAATTCAAGAGCATATGCACGAGATTCGGAACGGCCCTCATATTTTCCTTTTGGAATGTTTTTCGTTGATGTTTCATGAATGTAGTATTTTTAGCAACTTCGAACTTGCACTTTGTTATACTTAATTCAATTGGCTACAAATCCGCATACTAATTTTTTAGAAATTCTAAATAAAGAATGAAATTTGGATTTTCATGATTTTTGTTAGATAATTAACTATAAAAAATGAAGAACCAATCCAAATGATAAACACTGTGGATATTGTAAAAATATCACTGTATAATTGTGAGTGTGTGTCACGTGTTTATTGTTTATCATTTTCTAAATTATTACAGTTGAGACACTTGAAGTTGTGGTAGATGAAGAGTGCTACAATAGGCCCTCTGAAATTGAAGCAACTTCTCCTTCGCCTGAATTTTTAATACTGGAGGAATGTTCTTCAGAACCTCCGAAAAAGCGGAGGAAAAAAAAAGAAAATGTTAATTTCCAAGATGAATTTATTGAAGAATTTCGCGCGGCCAACCAAACAATCGCTTTGGAAATGAAAGAGCTGAAAGAGGATAGCAAAGAAGCCCTGCAAATTGAAAGGGATCGGAATGCTATTCTCGAAAAATTTCTAGAGGCTTTCAAACAAAATAAGTAATAAAATTTCGGGTCATTTCCAAATTGCAGGAAGGAAATAAAAGTGCCTTACTGTTTAATTTAAGTGTCCTGCTTAATGTTATTTGGGGATGATCCTAAATAAAATTACTTATTTTATAAATCTTTTTATTTGGTAAATTTATTTAAATATAGTTGATAGCTCAACGAAAACCGTGTAAAACAAAGTTCGGAATTTTGTAGAAAATTTAGAAAAAATTAAATTGTCCCCAAAATACAAGTTTTTTAACAAGAATTTTATGAAAATTTTAGGAATGCTTGCAATTTATGTACAAGAATTTAAAATGGGCTATAAAGCTTCATTAATAAATTTGGTGAAAATTTGATTTTTCCTAAATTTTCTACAAAGTTCAGAACTTGGTTTTACAGTTTTCGTTGAGCTATCAACTATATTTAAATAATAAATTTACCAAACAAAAAGATTTATAAAAAAGTAATTTTATTTAGGGTCATCTCCAAATAACATTAAGGCGGACACTTAAATTAAACAGTAAGGCACTTTTATTTCCTTCCTGCAATTTGGAAATGGCCCGAAACTACACACTTGGCCAAAAGTATTAGGTACCCCAATATAACACATTTTTTTTTTTAATTTTTCTTTTGTTTATTTAATGTTTAATATTTTTTTTATAAACTCCTGGCTCACTATTTAACAAAAAAACACATACATCCAAATTCTAAACTTTGTGAAAAAAATATAACAGTTCTGCAAACTTTAACCAACATTTCCAACTTTTTATTCAGAAGGTTTGGAAAAAATTAGGTATGCAGTTTTGTAGCCCATAAAATTTTAGTATACATAGTAGTATTTAGTAGTTATTAAAGAATCCCGTTCGTTTTTTACGATTTTTTTCGTTGACGGTGTCATACACTTTCATCCGTAAAATGTTTTTTATATACAAGAAAATGCCCAATACCGTCAACGCTTCCTTTTGATACTCCAAACAGCCGGCCGATTGTCCTGTATTCAGCTGAGGAACCAAGCGCATATAAAGCAATCGCGACACGCTTATCTAAAGGGATGCATTTCCTAAAAGTTGTATCGGCTTTTGCAATGGACGTCACCTCGTTGCATAAAAAGGCGAAGGATTCGCGGCTCATTCTAAAGCACTCCTTAAAAAATTGGTCGCTGCTGGCAGGAATGTCCAGAACTTACCGTGTCTCGCCTACAATACACATAAAAGCGTTGATTATTATATTCACTAATAAAAAAAAAATAGCTGCTATAATTGCTTACGTGTGTCCACAGACGCTTTGGCGTGTTATTCCTTATTATAAAATATAATAAAGAGTTTCGCATTCGTATTGCTGCCATAATTTTTTTCAATCTCAGTAGCCGCCTTTTTCGGATCTCTTCCAACTGTCTATTACTGGAAGCCAATTGCGCAATTAATTGAACTATTGCATCTTTTTGCCTTCTTTCCATATCGTTAATAATTAATAATAATTTAGCAAACGAAAAACACTTAAATGTTCCACCAAACTATTGTCCATGAACAAAAAACTTGTCAAAACAATCTTGACAGCTGATTGTCAATTTTGCAGCCAAACTCCTATATGTGAACGGGTAGTTTAGTTAACGCAGATTTATTGCTAATCTCTTTATATGTGAACATAATATAACTCACTTCGCTGTGGCGGCGCCCTTATATACCTGCGCTCGTACTTATGGCAACTCTAGAACGTTCTGAAGTTTATCGCTCATTCTCTTTCTCTCGCTGTTCGCAGTGTTCATCCAACTTGACGTTTCTCTTTGTGGAACACTCTACGTCATTCCTCGAACATTCTGCCTATTTCTCGTTGTTCGCTTCGCGTTGCCGCAGTATTCGCCATAGAATTGTGTTTTTTTTCACAAAAAATATGTATTTTTACAAGATTATATATCTTTTAATAATTTTTCAGAAAAAATTTAGAATTAAATATATTTTTACAAGATTAATAGATAAAGTTTTTTCATATAAAATGAGTTTAACAAAATAACTCCTTTTTTCTTATATTTCCCAAAAACTTTTCGAAGTGTTTTCCTGAAAGGCGGTTTCGAGATTTTAATATAGTTGTATCTGTTTTCGAGAAAAGGCTCTCGCAAGGGACAGATGACCCGACAACCGTTACGTATAGACGCAGTGTTGCCGTTGAGAATTTTCAGAAAGTCGAATTAAGGGATTCGTTGACGAGAAAAGGGGTCACCATATTATTTTTTGCTTTTCTTTACTAGTAAAAGAATAAATTTGTTGACTTTAAAAAGAAAATAGTGGGACAAGCTTTTCACAAAACAAGGTTGCAAACATACACATAAATCGAGAAGAGTTACGTTTCTTTTAAAAGTTTTAAGTGATGCATTTTTTCGTACTTACAGGAGGAAATATGTTTTAATAGCATGGTTCTGTTAACGTTTCCTAAAGTCTCTGAAAAGGGGCAAAGGTCGCACATAATTTTGGAAAAGGGTCAAAAAATCAAAATTTTCAGAGTCGGGTCAAAGGATATTGGCGCTCAAAAAGGGTTAAATTGCCACTTTATGCAGCGTCTTTGCTGCATTTAAAATGCAACATTTAGCACTTTCGAACATATTTTGTCGAAGAGCGTTCATGCTATCGCATTTAGCAAATGTACATTTACGCGAGTTCGAAATCGTATGCTTTTGACAAACAGCCGTGTTCCAGTCGCTTATTCAGAACCGTATCTATTACGATCAATGCTCACGCAGAAGATAATGTGCAACGCTACTGAAAAGGAAAAAATAAATTTTAAACCAAAACTTCAATACAAAAATTTGAATTGTTTTAACCATGACCGACCATTTGTTTATGTATATATTTATTCATTTTTCGGTGCTGTCAATTAAAATTTCCTCACTTAATTAGGAAACACAACAAACAGAATTGATCACAAATTGATCCAGATTTCTATCAGCATCACATCGATATTGAATTTTCTTAACTTTTCTTTATCCAAATAATGTAAAATAATAAATGAAATCTCGATCGGCGATCACTGAAACGCAGCTAGCCACTGTATACTCGAAAATGCAATGTTGCCACTTTTTATCATTAAACCATGTTCGAATCGTGGAAATTTTGGAAGATCACAGGGTTGCTTTTAGCATTTAGATTCTTAATCAAAAATGGAGTTGCATTTAGTTGCATTTAGGTGACAAATTTTTTTATGGATAAATGTGCAGCGTTTTTGCTGCATTTAAAATGCAACATTTAGCTCTTTCGAACATATGTTTTCGAAGAGGGTTCATACTATCGCATTTAGCAAATGCACATATACGCGAGTTCGAAATCGTATGCTTTTGACAAACAGCCGTGTTCCAGTCGCTTATTCAGATCCGTATCTATTACGATTAATTTTCATGCAGAAGATAATGTGCAAAAACCCTACTGTAAAGAAAAAATAAATTTCAAACCAAAAATCAATAGAAAAACTTGAATTGCTTTAACCATAACCGAACATTTGTTTGTGTATATATTCATTTGTCGGTGCTGTTAATTAAAATTTCCTCACTTAATTAGGAAACAAAACAGAGTTGATCACAAATTGATCCAGATTTCTATCAGCATCACATCTATGTTGAATTTGCTTATCTTTTCCTTATCCAAATAATGTAAAACATTAAATGAAATCTCGATCGGCGATCACTGAAACGCAGCTAGCCACTGTATACTCGAAAAAGCAGTGTTGCCACTTTTTCTCATTAAACCATGTTCGAATCGTGGAAATTTTAGAAGATCGCAGGGTTGCTTTTAGCATTTAGATTCTTAATGCAAAAATGGAGTTGCATAAATGTACATTTAGAGTAGCATTTAGAGCTAAATATGCTAAATGTGCTTTTACGCGTACGCAAAAACAGCCCATTAGAGGCCCTGTGCCAATTGATAGAAAATAGAAAATTTTGACGGATCAAAGGAAAAATTTGACATTTCTCGTGGTGAATATGAACGTCAAAATTTTACCTAGGTCATGGGGCTAGGTAAAATTTTGACAGCTTATAACCATGTATACACATAATATTGCTTGGCGGTAATAAGGAGTGAACATGAAAATGAAAGCTGACACAGCATAAAAAAAGCGTACGTTACTTGCAAATTATAAAATAAATATAAATTTTAAGAATTTCAGCAACACACAAAAATAAAGCTTTCGCACGAGCGTTTGTTTGGTTTTTCAACTGTCAAAATTTTACTCTGCATTTGGCACAGCAAAATTCAATTTATTTGTACACCATAGCAAATTTTTCCACCCCGTCTCACCACGGAGAAAAAAGTTACCGATTGGCACAGGCCCAGAGTAGCATATAGAGCTAAATGCGCTAAATCTAGTTTTACGCGTAAGCAAAAACAGCCCATTAGTCGCACAACGGCAATACTGTATATAGGGCATTCGCACGAGGCGATTTTACAGGCATCAAAAGTTGAATACGTAGTTGAATGACAAGTTGAGTGTGAAAAAGTTGCCATCCCTATTCAGACGAGGCGATTTTGGATTCAACACGAATCGTTATTTACATTATTGAAAATGAATTTAAATCGCAAAATTTTATTAATTGGCGTAAATTTGGTAAGCTAAGCGTTGATCTGAGCTGAGCTGAAAGATAAAATAAGAGTAAAAAAGTAAAATAGAAAAAAAGTATGTATACAGAACAGTGTTGGCATTTTTGGTACAATTGTACTTGTTTGATACAATTTCATTTACAATATACTTTCCTACTACGCAGTACTTTTTAGTACAATTTTGTAATGAATACTAAAAATATACAGCTCTGAAAATTCACAGCAAGAAATTCTTTGTATTCTCTTTTGTTCGCCAGTTCGTATTTACCTTTGTAAGTTTTGAAAAATGGCTTGAACGAACCAGTATAATACAGCCTAGGCAAATTTTTAAAGAAACTTTTCGATACTAAGTTTTATTAAAACAAAATGTCGAAGTCAACTTCATATAGAAAGAAAGTCTTCGTTAGTTATAAGAAGAGATTTTCTTAAATATAATACCTTTACGGCACTCACATATTGACAAGATTTACTATTTATTTTATTATTCTTTAATTTTAACTATCTGTTTATAAAATATAATGTATTCTTTAAGAAAAACTGTATAAACCCAAGATTAAATCTATGCGAAACATCCAAAAACCAACATACTTTCGTAAAAATTTCAAGCTTTATCAATATTCTTTAGTTTTTAGCCCATTCAATTTTAGTATAATAAAGTGCAAGTTTAAAGTAGCTGGGACTTACCGTTGAACTTGGCAATTTTGTTTTGTCGACGATGTCAGCCATTTTCTTCCATACGAAGTGTGTTCGACGATTTTTTTATATGGAGGAAATTAGCAACACCTTCATCAAAGAAATCTTAAAAAACTTAGTTATATTAAAATTTAATGGGCTAAAAAACCACACACTCAAAATAAATCTAGGAAATCGAATTAAATAGATCGAAATTTTTACGAAAGTGTGTTGGTTTTTTTAATGTTGCACAAAGTTTGAACCTTGGATTTGTACGGCTTTTCTTAAAATATAAACCGTATTTTTACAAAAAATAATTAAAATTTAATAATATTAAGATAAATGGTCAAATCTTGTCGTAAAGTTTTGATAAGCACTTGAAATGCTATAAAAATGTCAAATTTTAGTACTGAATCCAAAGAAAATGTCTCTTTTATCCATTAATATCAACTTAAATATGCTTTTTGTTAAGATGTATACCTGAAAATGTGTGCATACATATTTGCGTTAAATGCAATACATGTGCACGTGGAATCAATTTGTAAAAGTGTAAAATACGTAAACGTATGTACATAAACAATAAAACTTTCTCATGAATACCATAAAATCATTGGTCTTGAAGGGAATGTACTAAGAAAATATATGAGCGAATTAAAAAGTGTATACAATTTATAGCCAAAAGTACATTTTTTGTATAGATTTCGTACTAAAGGAACAATTTGATATCCCAACACTGATACAGAATGTAAACAAACACAGGGTTGCAAGGAAAAAAAGTTGAACGAGCTCAAAGTTGGCTGGCGACCAACTTTGTTGAAAGCGATTAGTTGAAAGGCCGTTCGGACGAGGCGATTTTTGCTTTCAACTAAAAGTTGCCTGAAAAATCGCCGCGTGCGAAAGCCCTATCATTCAACTCCGCATTCAACTTTTGTTGCCTGAAAAATCGCCTGGTGCGAAAGGTCTATTAATGGGATACTTTTCAAAGAAAATCCTGAAGCATAATAAGTTTTTCGCTTCCGATACAAGAACTTTTTTCGATACCTACTTGGATCGTAGCAAAAAGTATCGAGTACAAAAATACTTAATAAATTGAGAAAAGTGCCTAGTATGTACTTGGATTTACTTGTATCGATTTATCCCTGCATACCTATATATCCCTAGACAAAGGTGGAAATTTATTTATACATAATTGAAAAAGCATTCCAATCATTAGACGAATTCAATTTAGAAATATGACTATTTTAACTAAACCGTCAAATGAAAAAACAGCAGAAAAGCTTGCTCTACCGTTGAATTTAGGTAGACACGATGATACATCATTGAATGGAGGCGTAGCAGACTCGACTCTTTTGAGCGTAAGTTTCATTTTTTATAAACAATGTTCCATTATAAAAGTATGATACAAAAAAGAAAGGAGTTCCGTTCAAAATGTATTTAAAAAACCTCTGTGCTATTGTTACTTTTTCGTAGGCATATTAACAACCTAACAATTAGGCAGATTGTGACGTTTCGTGCTACCATACCCATGTAAATATACCATGATTTAATTATTGGAGCAAGTAACACGGCGTACACATATGATGGATGAGACAATTTTTCCAAGACAATGGGAAAATTTGAGTATGCGGACGGCAAATTCTAGAAAAAGTTGGGTTGAGGGGACTCCCTGATTTCAAAAATACCCCTTTTTTTAGCAACCCTATAGTTTTTATATAATTTATTGTTAAAGTTTTCATATAAACGATGAATAAGATAGCAAAATAACATAAAACTTGGTGCTGCCAGACTGAAATTTTGAATGATAGCGGATTTTTAATACGGAATTTTCACTTAGTAGAATTCTCCTTTCTGTGCTGCCGAAGAAGGGGGGGCTGAACACATTTTGCAGATAACACCTTTCTGCGTAGGCGGCCTTCGGCCGCACTTAGGGATTATAACTCTCACTACGTAGGATTCTCCTTTCTGTGTTGCCAAAGAAGAGGGGCTGAACACCTTTTGCAGAGAACACCTTTCTGCGTAGGCGGCCTTCGGCCGCACTTAGGGATTATAACCCTCACTACGTAGAATTCTTCTTTCTGTGTTGCCAAAGAAGAGGGGCTAAGCACCTTTTGCAGAGAACACCTTTCTGCGTAGGCGGTCTTCGGCCGCACTTA